TCTAACATAGAGCAGGCCTTCAGTAAATGCTACCATTATTTAGCAATATATTAAATTGCTATAATACAAAACTACCTAAACGCCTACACCCATTCCCTCCCCCCCTCAAAATCTTTTCTATTCCTATTTGACTTTGTCAAGTGAAGGGGGAAAAACTCACAAACAGGAAGGCCCGCTAAGTATCACAAAATACACCAACTCATCAAAGATCGCCTTCTACCTGTCATTCGCTTCCACTACTCTATTTTGCTTCTGTTATCCTTTCTTCCATGACTCTGCAATCCACACACACACATCCCTGGGTATTCCTTACAGAGTTAACCTGTTCTCATTCTGTAGACCTCATCAAATCTCACTTCCCCAAGGAAATCCTGAATCACCCCCAAAGTCAGATGAGGTTCCCCATTTCATCTCTTTTGCTCTTTCCCTCGTGCATTTATCACTTTGTGTATTTATACATTTGGGTGATTATTTGGTCAATATCCTCCTTCCCACTAGACTGTATGCTTCATGCCCAGTGAAAATGACTCACCACTCTATTCCCAGCTACTAACACAGTAATTGATAATGTACATAATAAATAGACATTGAATAAGGAATGAGACTAATTCCACATAGCATACCAACAGACTAGATCAGTGTTTGCAAAATGTCTGATTTGTAACCAGCACCTTTTTTAATGAAAATTAACAGACTATCATAGGAAAAAATAGAAGAGGAAATAGAGCTTACTGTATGTAGTAAAACTACATAAAACTATTGTTTCATTCATATACGTATGAACATTTCTAACGATGAGTCATGAACAAAATGCTTGAAAGACACCAAATTAAATGTCCCAATGTAAACTCCTCCCAATGTCCCATTAAAATGCTCAAGAAGGTGCACCAAAAGACAAAAATTGGCAATAGTGCTAGAAATGTAAGAGAAAAAAGACAAAAATCAAGGCATTAAAGGATGGTTAAGATGCATATTCTTGAGCCACACCTTTTGAACTTCAATAAGAAATATGCTCTGATAAATTTAGAAAAAATCCTGAGTTTAATTTAGAAATATGAAAAGATGCAATTGGCCATATAAATATGAGAAGCATAACACTAGATTGAACCATATGAAATTGCCTTTTTTATAGGTCAAGAGCAGTCAAATACCAGCAATTTCATATGACTCAACCTATCAATAATGATAATAATAATAATGGCATCTAATACATTCAGCATGCCAGGCATTTTAAAAACATTCATTGAGGATTTATGTATTGTGTGTTGTTTCTCTACAAATGAAAATCTGTAGGCTTAGAGACATTATGTCATCTATCGAAGGCCATGCAGCTAACTACTGGATGAATAAGGATTTGTAACATGGTTTTGCCTGGCAAGCCAGTGCTCTTTACTAAAGCCTATAGTACCTTCCATAACAGAAAACTTAAGAGTAAGAATGAAGATCCAATGTATCATTTATGATCATAAATGTAGAAGTAATGTTTCCTATTAAGAGATACTAAAAAACAAGATCCAATTAAAGGTTACTTACAGGCAAAAATATATGAAACAAAATGACATTAAAAGTTTAAGATCAGAAGAAGAATGAAGTCATCTCAAAGGAAAAAAAGCTGGTAGTATTAAAAAGCAGAATGTAATTCTAAATGCATAGAGCATGATTTTATATTGATAAGCACATAATAAAGGCCTAAAAGAAACCTTTATATATTTAATATTATGCTAATACATACAGATTGCTATAAAAAATTGACAAAAGCTCATTTGTAATTTGTAGAAACATACTAAGGGGCCATTATCAGATCATAACAGCTCATACAGATAAACAGGGCACAGTGGACATGAATAATATTATTATAGTGGCTGAATTAATAAATATATGTTGTACTTGTCACTTTTAGAAAACCATGCTCTTTTTAAGCATTTAGGAAATAGAAACCCTTAATCTATAAGACATAAAAATTGTACAGGCCACATTCACTTACCAGAATAAAACCAATAATCAATGCAAAAGTCTACATATATAAGTACCTACAATAAAGCAATCTTCAGCCAAGTCATACCAAACCACTAGTAGCATTCCCAGTGAAGGCAGATAGTAACAAGAACATTTACTTTCCCTGTATTGTTTTAAATTTTACAGTGATTTGTATTAGCACAAAACATAGAATTTAAGCTAGTTCCATTAAAATAAGATTGCCACTTTCAGATAGAAAATGTCTCCTCTGTCAAAAATGACTGACTCAAACTCAAAAATAAAAACACTGTTGATTTCAAAATTATTGAAAATATAGGCTAGGCACAGAGGCTCATGCCTATAACCCTAGGATTCTGGGAGGCACTGAGGTGGGAGGACTGCTTGAGGTCAGGAGTTCGAGACCATTCTGAGCAAGAGTGAGACCCTGTTTCTATTAAAGACAGAAAAAAAGTAGCTGGGCATGGTGGTGTGCACCTGTAGTCCCAGCTACTTCAGAGGCTGAGGCAGGAGGATCACAGCTTGAGCCCAGGCATTTGAGGTTGCAGTGAGCTATGATGACACCACTGTTCTCAAGCCTGGGCAACAGAGCAACACACAGTCTCAAAAAAAAAAAAAAAATACACAAACACACACAGAACTATACATCAAAAATTCCAGCAAAATTGATAAATTTCTATCCTTACATACTTTCATAATTTAAAACAGATGAACTAATTTCAACTCAAGAAGCAAGAACCAAAGTTTTGTCTATTTTTTTGCTTTTCTTTTTTTCATCAAACCAGCCTTTATCTTTATCAATGTTTCCCAATGTTGAAAGATTTCAAGATTTCCTCCTTTTCCCTTCCTACTCCACAGTTTCAACTCATGCTTCAAGTCTCAGCATAAATGCCACTTTCTCAGAGAAACTTTCCTCTTCTCATCCCCTCGGACAAGGTTAGTGGCCCTGTTATGTCTTTCCAGGAAACCCTGATTTTCTCCCTAATTCCAATCACCTGGAGTTAGTTTTTTCAAAGGCCATCTCCTTCACTAGAATGTCAATCTCATGAGATCAAGACGGTACCTTATTTACTATAATACACTCAGCAGATGATGGATATCTATTTTTCACATATTCAAATATTTATAAGTTCAATTTTTTATTTAAAAAATTGAGTTTCTACTATGTGATATTGCACTAAACATTGAAAAAAAACAACAGAAAATAAAATAGGAATAAAAAAAAATCTTTGCCTCATCTAAGACAATGTCAGAAGAAGGTAAGTGCAATGGAGAAGAAAATACCCAGGCAAGCTGGAAAGATGAGAAAGGTCATACAATTTTAAGTGTGGTGATTAGAGAAGGTCTCATCACATGAAAATGGGGAGAGGGCAAACATTTGGATGCCTGGGAAAGAACATTCTAGGCAGAAGGGACAGCTGAGGGGAAAGGCCAGGAAATCGCAGTCCACTGTGTGGATAAGCTCACACATGGAGACTGTTTAGAGTAAGGATAAAATTCTAGGAACATCAGCACTAAAAGATGGGAAAAGCAGCACCAACCCTCAAAAGAGATGAAAAGAAGCCAGCAGAGATAGAGAATGATTAATTATATATGATACATATTAAATAGTGTGACTTACATAGTCATTAGAAATTAAAAATGAAAGATTTCAATGGCATGTGCACCTACTCCTCATACAAAGCAGAATGCCATTAAATATTCAGAAGGAGCAAATATTTTAAAATCTATAACAAAGTGTCCCAAAATGGAATAAGAAAGTTATTCTTAAGTGGTGGAACTACACACAAACCTCCTATACATTCCAAAAGTTCAAAAACGAGCAGGTACTGTTTTTGCCATCAAATGGAAATGACTATAATTTCAAATGATCATAATGGCTTGGAAAGAAAAAATAAGAATAAATTTGTCATTGTCCTATTTTGCATCCAGAAAGGCATGCCCATATAATTATCAGAAATTGAAATAAATTCTTAAAGATTTTTTTAAGCCAGATAAAGAACAAAGTTGTACTGTATCCTGCTTTTTACCTGAAGTAATTACTTAATCAGGCAACTAAAGCTTAAAATTACTTGACCAGATTTTAAAAACCTCCATGACAAAATTGCTGTAGTTTCTCCAAGTATAATCTTTAGGCTACTGGGATTTCCAAACTTCTTCTGAGAAATCTGTGTGTCTTTTATTATAGTAATGACAACAATATGATGCTGCTATTAGTCCTACAGTAAATTAAAACTATATTTGCAATTCCCTCAGCCCCCAAATCACTACCAGTCTTCCAATTATTTTAAGAATTTTTTTTTCAGACAACATTAACTGGAATGAATTATTTCAGAGATTTTTGTTCACTCCAAAGGAATATTATGCTGAAATTCACACCATTTCCTTCCTATCATCCCACAACTACCACATCAATAGAAGCCATGGTGGATGCTCAATGAACGTTTGATAACCCATAAAACCATCATAATCTGCTAAAGAAAAACAATATAAAGAATCAAAGTCAGTCTTATGCTTGTTAAAATACTGAGTATATCACTCCTCTCACTCTAAAAGTTCTCTGCAGCTTATTGCATCAATTCCACTGGCATTTATTCCAACATATATTAATAACAATTACTCCTGAACACCGCAAGCTCTGACTTTCCAGCTAAGCTTCAAACTCAAATTTCTAGCTACCAGCTGAAAGTATCTGCCATGTTTTAGACATGTCAAAAGCAAACCTCACTGCCACAATCCTCATACTATCATGTCCCTTCTGATAACATCAATGTGCCCTTTTTTGTCCCCAAGTCTGCAGCACCTTCTATGCTATCTCCACAACCTTCAAGACTAGCCCCCCCGCAACACCCCCACTCCCTGCTACGACCTGTAAATTCCAGGCACTCTTCCCAAGCCTGTCACTCTCAGGCAGTACCCTGGGCCTTTGTTACTACTTTTCTACAAGGAATGAGCTTCTCCACCAACTTGTCCATCGAGGCCAGCATCCGGCTGCACATCATTCCTCTCCTCCAAGGGTGACTTACCTTTTCCATCCTCAGACATGCAGAAAGCTCTTCGTGTAAACCATGGTTTACAGTATTTATCACTGTCTGCCAGATCTCAGTCATTGTTTTCCATGTCTCTCCATATACGAGCTACTTGAGAGCAGGGATCATCCTTTTTTGATTGCTGATTTGCTTGTTTTTTTATTTCAGTGTCCTCAGCCAAGCATAAAGACACAGAAGTGCTCCAAGATTTCAGCTGCATAAAACTGGATTCACGGGGTCTCACATAAAGTGACCAGAGAACAGATTCTGCTGAATTTGGAAAAGTCAGCCATCTTGCCCTAGCCTTTGAACCTTTATACCACTGTGTCGACTCAGAAAGTAAAGCAGGCAGTTCTCTGTGGAACCATTAATACAATAAATAGTGGGTACAGAATGAATGCCTCATTTTTGTGACTTGACAATAATCCTTCTCCCAACAAATCATAGTCCAAGAAGGCAAAGCAGCCCCTTAACAAAAGGCAATTCTGTTTCAGCTGTTTTACTCCCTTAGTAAGAACACACTATCCTTATCATCTGCTGATTACAGACTTCTAAGGGGGGGTCCCTCGCTTAATACTCCCACAATGAAATCTAACTATAATGAATAACTCCACCTATCTGCTCTGCTCTTAAAGTGGCTGATAGGCCTCCCTCCACCCATGCCTTGTTTTCTACCTAACAAAAGGCTCACAGATGCTGAACACGTGTTCCCAAATGCCCCTCCTCCCCTTGCCTGAGACGGAGATGAAGCACAGCTCTTGTGGAAATATTCTCTGCAATATTTGTTGTGTGGGTTGCCACACAGCTGGAAACGGTTTTCTTGTTCCTCGTTCATAACAGACATTCATATCACTCTAACAAGAACTCCAAATTGAATAACGTCATACTGCACTGATTCAAGAAGAGCCTGTGCAAGCTCTTCTGGCTTCGAACTTCACTTGCTTAATCGCAGCCTCAAGTATAGCCTCTCTAAAGTAAAAGGGGCTAGAGGCAGGCACAAATACAGACAGACACACACGCAAATGTATACAGGTGTGTCTATAAACACACCCACACATCCTACACACATAAATATCCATAAACACACATACATTTCTGTAGGTTTAAGTAAAAGGACAAGTTTGAAAGGCTATGTAACTAACTGATGACAAAGGGGTTACATCAGACAGGTAAAATGGAAGAGGCACTTTAGACACATCTATGGTATTTTATCAATGAATGAAGCCACCTCCTTCTGGTCAGAAGGATTTCTACCATATTCGAATCCCTGAGTGACTTCCATGAGACTGTAAGTGAAATGCATTAACAAAGCAAAGCACCATGATAGTGTGACCTCAAAATAAGTCTAACTTGCCACGAACACCAGCATTTGGATTATTCTAGGAGGCAAGCCATAAACTGAACATAGAAACTCAAACACAAGTTGGGTTAAAAGAATATCCAAAAATGAATTGGAAGCCAGCCAGGGCTACAGGTAAAACACAGCTGTGTCTGTCTCTAGACTTTACAACTAACAGGTAAATCTTGGCAAAACATTTCCAGTTTATAAAACGAAGGGGAGGTTACTATGTCTATGTCTCTCCTTCACTAAGAGGGAAAAGCTAACTGACCTGAAAGCACGGAGACTATTTGAAGAATGTGTTCCCAAAACTGAGGAACTCAACAGACATACCCCTATATTTGAAAGCATTTCAAAAGAATTTCTGGTACTAACATAATGACAGAATGCAAGCTCCAAGAGATAAGGGACCATACATGTCTTGTTTCCTGCAGTGCTATTTTCCCAGTACACGGTGGGTACTCAACAAATACCTACTGAATGTGGAATGAATGAATGAAAATATAAAGGATTAAATTGAGGAACAAATAGTAAATGAAAACTAGAATTAAAAGCCAGATAACATCAATTATTATTCTTATTTTACAGATACAAAAAGAGAGGCACTTCGACTAACCCAGCAATAGCAAAACTAGAAATAAAAATCCTCTGGATCCACTTTTTCCTCTTCGAGGCTGACTTCATCCCCTAGGGTCCTTCTAGACCCTAATCTTGCAGGACCCCTCCCAGACCTTCCCACCCACACCTCTCCCCTGAGGGTCTTTGGTGCTTCTCTCTCTTATAACACTTGTGCCGAATTGTAATCATCTGTTAATATGTCTGTAAGCTCCTCCTGGAGGGTAGGAATCCCAAATTATTCACACTCACCCCTAGTAACAACACCTGCTATGTAGCAAGCAGTCAATTAAGTGCTCCTAGGCTTGAACAGAACTTGTTTCCTCCACCCCTGAACCATGTTTCCTTCCAAAGAGCCAGGAATATCCATTAATTGGGGCAGAATTTTAGAATGGAGACAGTTAGGGATTGGTCAATGAAAACCACGTGTACATAAAGAAAACTGAATACAGTAGATTGACATGAAGTCAAATCAAGGGGACTGTTTTGACATTTAAGATAATAAAGTTTAAAAAAAATAGAATAAAATTCATTTCACCTGTAAATAAATACATAAGGCCATAGGCTGGGCGCAGTGACTCACACCTGTTATCCTAGCATTCTGGGAGGCCAAGGCGGGAAGACTGCTTGACCTCAGGAGTATGAGATCAGACTGAGCAAAAGCAAGACCCTGTCTCTACTAGAAATAGCAAAATTAGCTGCTCAGGAGGCTGAGACAATAGGATCGCTTGAGCCCAGGAACTGGAGGTTGCAGTGAGCTATGATGATGCCACTGCATTCTACCCAGGGCAGCAGAGTGAGACTCTGTCTCAATCAATCAATCAATCAAGCCAGACGTGGTGGCTCAGCACTTTGGGAGGCTGAGGCAGAAGGATGGCTTGAGGCCAATAGTTTGAGACCAGCCTGGGCAATACAGTGAGACCCCAGATATAAAAAAAAAAAAAAAATTGTTTTAATTAGCCAGGCCTGGTAGCATGCACCTATAGCCCTAGCCACTTCGGAGGCTGAGGCAGAAGAATCACGTGTGCCCAGAAATTCAAGGTTATAGTGAGCTGTGATCACACCACTGCACTCCAGCCTGGGCGACACAGCAAACCCATCTCAAAAATAAATAAAGGGAAACTTGCTGAAAGGGAATGGTTCACAGTAGCAGTCCCTGTGTAGTGAAGAATCCTCAACCTTGAGAACCACAGGCACACGTAAAGGCCATAATGGAGAAAATTTCCTTTAACACTTACAACCTTGGAAATCCCACCATAAAGAGTGATCCATGGCCAGGTGTTATTAGTCAAACTTTTTCTCTTTTAGAGAAAAACGCTGGTTTTGAACTTATTTTCCTTTATTTTCATAATACAGCAAACACAGACTGATCTACCTCGTTCAGGTTTATTCATGCTTGTCTTCACACTGTGACTAAAGTGATTATAGTTAAGGGTCTGCCTTGTCATTGTATATGTTTTTTAAAAAATAGTATCACAAAAGTAAAATAAATTATAACCTAAATGCATGAATGCAGCAAAATAGTCTTCTTTCCTTTCTGGAAAAAAGAAATTTGAATTTTAAATGAACTCCAGGGTTAAAGCTTCTATAGCACTGGTCAGATGACAGAAAACAACATGCAAGTAGTAAGAATTTTCTCTGGCCCATCTCCACAAGTCAGTACCACCACCACTACTTTGAAATAATGCTAACCTGCTTTTAAAAACGCCAGGGAATTTAATCAAAATTACTACCACCACCACCATCCCTGATCCTTCCCCCACAAAAATGTGTCCTAAGAAATAAAGTATACTGGCTGGGCCAGGTGGCTCACACCTGTAATCCTAGCACTCTGGGAGGCCGAGGCGGGCGGATTGCTCAAGGTCAGGAGTTCAAAACTAGCCTGAGCGAGACCCCGTCTCTACCATAAAAATAGAAAGAAATTAATTGGCCAACTAATATATATAATATAAAAATCAGCCGGGCATGGTGGCTCATGCCTATAGTCCCAGCTACTCAGGAGGCTGAGGCAGGAGGATCGCTTGAGCCCAGGAGTTTGAGGTTGCTGTGAGCTAGGCTGACACCACGGCAATCACTCTAGCCTGGGCAAGAAAGCGAGACTCTGTCTCAAAAAAATAAAAAAAAAGAAAAAAGAAATAAAGTATACTGACCTAGGGTTCCTTCAACTTAATTTCTTATTACATGTGCCAAACTCAAGTTCCTTTACAGAAGATAAAACAAACTGCTGAGAGAATAGTTCATTCAAATTGTATTCAGAAGATAGTAAAAAGAAGCTAATCTAATCTCTTTTAATTATCTGTCTCTTGGGTAGCTAAATTCAAGGGCCATGAAAAGACACCCAAATCAGGTCCACTTTGGACATGCAACTGCAAAACTATCCATTCCCACGGGTGACTCAGAGGTATTGGGGTGTGACAGGGACCCTACAGAGCTGCTGAACACCTCTCCCAAATAGATCCCACAGAGCTTCTTCCTGATAGAGAATGAACTAAACACTTCAGCTCTAGGGATTTAAAAAATAATAAGCAGCAGTTGACCAGAAAAAAAACAAAAACTCTTAAAGAGGTATTAATGTACAGGGTTGAGCAAGCTACTTCTCTTGAAGGTGAAATTTAATAAAGCATTCTCAGGGGTGTGTCAGCCCTCACTGTGGTACCCAGGGTGCTGCTCTCTCCTCTCTAGTCCCATCTACCCTCCCTCCCATCCTTTACAGGGGCATTACCCTACTTTCAAACTAATAATAATTCTTTTCTTCTGTGCTGCAAATGTTCAACCACTGTGGTTAAATACCGCGTATAAAATAAACAGGGTCAAAAAAGCCAGTTGCCAGAAGAGAGTCATGTTTAAATTAGCATTAGCCAACAAGCTCTTTCCTAAACACAGAGAGACAGAGAGAGAGAGAGAGTGTTTTCTTGGTCAACTCCGTGTCTGCAGAGTGATTTTAACCCACATATTCAAAAGGCTCCAAAAGGTCCAGATATAACCCAGTAGCATCATTAATATTTACTAAATTAAAAGTCTCAGAAACACAAAAGAGCACTATCCATTTGGAGAGAATAGGGAGGAAGAAACCATGTTAGTCTCTTCTACAGCCTTTATATAATCTGAATATAGTCTGGACAAACTGGCCTAAAACTTAGCAGCCAAGAGTTACCATGGAATGTAACAGAATAAGAGCCCAGCCACTCCTCAATCATTGCATCCAGTATCTTCCTGCATCTTGGATTTAAATAATATTTTCTCCTCCCCTTCCCCGCCTCCCCCATGTAGCACAACTCCTTAAAATAACACCTAAGGTCCTCCATAATTTGCCACCTTGTAACTTTCCAGCCTTCATCAACCATGACTCTGACTACTACACCTCCATCTTCACTCTCCCACCATTCATCTTTTGAGAGACACATCATTTTTCAAGCCCTGTGAAGTCTTCCCCAGAGTTACAAAAGTTCTCCATTCCCTGGCATGCCAAGGATCTTGGACTCTACATCTACCACCCAGTTATGCAATATAACATAAATATATACATATATATTCAAAATATATACCAGGCATCCTCAAACTATGGCCTGCAGGCTACATGCAGGTGTTTTTGCCCATTTGTTTTTTTACTTCAAAATAAGATATGTGCAGTGTGCATAGAAATTTGTTCATAGTTTTTTAAACTATAGTCCGGCCCTCCAACGGCCTGAGAGACAGTGAACTGGCCCCCTGTTTAAAAAGTTTGAGGACCCCTGATATATAATAATGTTAGCTGCGTCTTTGCCTCCTGCATTGTAGCTCTTGCTAGAGTTTCCTTGTATCTGTCATATGAAAAGAATTCAATATTATTTGTGAAATTAAAATTTCCTTCTTTTCTCCCAACTTTCTAAGACATCCATAATAGTTTTCCATATTTGTATAACAACACTACAGGGACTTTTGGCATAACAAGATACATAAAAATAAGAATCTACACAATAGTATGATGCTGACTTAACAAGACCAGAGCACTTTTCAGACACTAAACCAAGAGCTTATGTTTGAGTTTTTATTACATCACACCTCACTTATAAATAAATGATGTTCCTCAAGGGTGTGGGCATATTGATAGCAAAAAAGTAAAATAAAATAAAATAACATTAAAGACAGGCCACACGTCAAGCACAGACATAAAAATATTGACTTCACACTGAATTCCAAAAGTGTTGCTATTTGTTTAATACTCGGAGCTTCCCAATGAAAATGATACAGTGTATTCTGCCCAGATTGCAACTTTCCTTACTAAGCATTTGTAGTGATTCTTGACCCTAAATATCAGTAACTTCAGATGGAATGCTATCGTGTCTCAGAAAGTCTTAGCAAGTGAGATTTTTACTTTCTGTGAATGTTCCAGTAGGTCAGTACAGCACAGATTCAGCAAAACCTTGCAACGTCTAAGGTATAATTTGAAAAGGAAAAAAAAAAAATCAAATTACTTTTTGGAAAATATTAGCTTTGAACAAGAATAGAAGTTTTGAAAGAGCTGCCACTTACATTCCCACCTCTGTTATTTTTTCCCATCACTCCCAGGGATACTGAAATCCATGCTGAGTGACCACAGCACAGGGCTACAGCTGTTGCCCTGAGAGACAGTGATGCACATGAGAAGTCCATCAAACTCCAAGGACCACCTTGACTTCGCCTTAGCTAAGCAGGGTCGCAAGCTTTAAATAAGGGTAACGAGATTGATGAGGGCAGGGGGAGTATTACTGATTGCCTTGAGAAGGAGTAAATAAAAAATGGGAAAAAAAAATCAACTCCCAACTATAGATTCTCTTCCCCTCCAGGCAACCCCTATGGCTGAGTTTTTTCCCATCTTCTTGGCCCTCCTGCCCTTCCACTTCCCTTTACTCCGGACCTCCTGGGCTAACATGGGATTACCACTCACCGGTTTCTAGTTATTTGGGGAGCTGGAAGGAACAGCAAAGATTCGTCAGACACCTTCCATTTTCCAGATGAAGAGACAGAGCTGACCTGACTGGCTAAGGCCGCACCGCTAGGGGACGTGGTGCGCGTGGGGGCTCGGATTGTGACAACCCAGGTTCCGCCTGCTCCTCAGCCGGTACTGTACTGCCTCCCTCTGCCTCCTCCTCTTGCTACTTGGCGTCTTTATCCTCAAATTAAATGGCATCAAGAAAAATGCAGCTTTAATATACTTAAAACGCTGATCATTATTCGTAGTTTTGCATTTGGGGCAATTACGCTCACTCCTGCCGGGACTTGGAGAATCAAGGGTAGAAATAAGGAGGTGGCATTACGTCTGTGTGTGCGTGTGTTTTAATGCAATGTGTTTGGATCAAACAGCCAGAACGCTACCCTTTTTCCTGGGGACTCACTCTTTCACCTGAGAAGGGAAGAACTTCTTACAAGAATTTGGAATTTTCCGAGTACAGAGTCTGCCTTTAACCAGAACGGCAGACTTTAAACCTCAGATCTCTGGCTTCACAGTTACTCTTACGCTTAGCCAGTGACACTTATGCAAATAGGTGAAAAGG